TATTAGGGTGGCTCTTAAATGGCGTATTTAAGACGCTGGCCTAAACATGCCGGCCCCCTTGCGGCAAGCAATCTGGAAGTTTACGTATTTAGGCCACCAAGTTTCATCGTTTAGTAGATATGTCTTAAAACTAGAAGCGACGTATCCATTTACGTTACGCATTTGTCGAACCTAAATTCTAGAAAAAATGTAAAGGAAGAAAAAAGTCACAATAAAACGTGGTTTGAAATTCACAAGCACTTGTTTATTTTTATTTCAATTCATGTTATTAATCCAGATTTTCGAAAAAATAAAAAAGTGAATATAAAAAATTTATTGTAATTGTTGGGGGGAAAAATCATTCAGCAAGCACCGGAGAGCACCCACCCGAAGATTGTATTTTGTGCCAATAGTGGGCCCATGGCACCTGCGGGAAGAGCGCCCAGGAAAATCTTGGGGAAAACGTCGGCCCCAAGAACTACTCGGACTGGCGAAGAAATGTGGAACCGCGGGTCAGCCAGTCTTAAATTTGTATACGCTGCGCCAATCGAAGCGTCGATATTCGCGACCGGGGTTATCTTTTTGAAGTTTCTCACAATAATAGCGTGAGTGGTTACCGTCGCTGTTTGCCCGTATTTTCCACGCATTTTAATAAAGCACCCGCGTTGCTTATTGATGGACGTCACGTTCAAGCGTAGCTCTTGGGCAAGATCCTCGGCTAATATCGACGTGGCTGCGCATGGGTCTATGAGTGCCCGTATATGATGTAGTCGGCCTCCTGCCTCTATTTTCACGACGGCGGTGGGCGCTACTGGTGTCAGGCTTTGTAGCGAAATAACAGCTGATCGCCCCATAGTTACCATTCCGGATCGAAATCCGCTTTGAGCTTGGCGGTGGAATGCAGAAGATTCCACTCGCCCGCTTTTGATTTGTCGACGGCGAGGGCGGTAACGCTGCTGTCGGGATTTGCCTCTCTTGTTTTTTGAAGGCTGGAAAGCTCCGGTTTCCAGTCCCTCTTGATGGTCTCGCTCGTGCTCTGAGTCTGGGCGAAAACGCTGGAGTCCTAATCCCCTCGACCCATCTGGATGGAAAGCGTAGGTTTTCATTCCAGGGGGGTTTGCTGAGCGGAAAGCATCGGTTTCCGCTTCAGGTTCAGGGATTTCCCCCTCTTCCAGGCCTGGGCGGAAAGCTGAAGTTTCCGCTGCAGCCTCTGACGCCTCCAATGATATGGCGTCGCTATCGTCGTCTTCGGCAACCGTATTCCTTGGTGGTCGTCGGCTAAAACGCGGCTTGTCGGCACGTGATGAAATATGAAGCAACGTGTGATGTTGCTCCTGGCACTGCCGGCATCTGCCCTCGTTAGTGCAATGTGCTGCGCGGTGTGTTCCTGCTAAGCAATTGGAGCAGTAGCGGTGGATCAATACTTCACGCAGACGCTCTTCTGGCCCTTTAGCACGAAAAACAGGGCAGAGCCGGAGAGGATGCTTCGAGCCGCAAAGTCGACAAGTCAGGGGGTAGCCTCGGGTAGTTTCCGCTTGTTTTCGCATCAACGTGAAGCGGGTCATTTTCTGAAATAGCAGTTTCCCAATCTTAATTAGAACTTTACAAGGAAACGAGATTGACGGGTGGCGAGCCATAGCGAGGTACAAATTTACGCACTCCTTAATGATTGAACATTCTAACGTTTATACCTGGCTTTATATTGGGGTGGTGAGAGTCGGCAGGGTTCATGGGAACTTTGAGCTGCTTATCTGATAAATAGGTTGCACGGAAAGTGTGGCGGAAACAAATTAACATTTAATTGATGGGTCTATGCATTATAACTTGACGTAGTAATACTGCATTTTGAAATAGATAATAATAAATAATTATGTATTATTTATTATTACCCACCACATCTATATGGAAAAAAAAAATGCCTATAATTTCCATTACTGCAAGCACTAACTGCACACACACACTATTAAGCGGATCTGCACAAAATTTGCGCAGACCTGCTACAGAAAATGGCAAGTGCAATCTCAGTGTTATTATCGAAAGAACTCTCCATAGTATCGAATTGTTTAGTACATCGATATCGATAACACAACACTACTTCCGTCAATGGACGATTCCCCACCACGTTAAATATATTCGTCTTTACTACAAGTGCTGTTATGCGGTGCCGGTGAAATATTTCGAGTTAATTGAAAAAAAAAACATAGCAAGCGGCGCGAGTGAAACAATAATTAACCCATCGATTTTGATAGCAGGTGCAGTGAAAGGGTGATTGTAAATAGTAAGTAGTAATATGTAAGTAGTGCGAATGTACACACAAACAAAAGAAATAAGTAAAACGGTGAATTTTAAGAAATAAGTGCGTAGAGTTCCTTTTAAATAAAAAAAATGCGTAAATTAAAGTTAATTTCTAACAAGAAAAAAACGTGCGTAATAAATATACATACGTTTTGCGAAACATATGTATGTGCAGAAGTACCGGTGGAGTGTTCAATTCATTATGTAAATGTGCCTTATGTAAAAGAATATGTACATACATATGTACCATGTGGTGCTAGTTGGTCGCGTTAAGAGCGTGTCCTTTTAAAGTTTTTACACACAAATTGAATATGCGTATTTATGTGTTGGGATAGGTTATGTGAAAAAGTGCAATGCTGAAGCTCGGAACACTTTGACGACTGCAACTTCACGACGTAACGACAGCGACATCATTTTGTCGACAAATGTCGCCTTGAAGCCAGCTTCTTAAACATTTTGAAGACCTCAGCGACATAGCAAATAGCTGATTTTAAAGTTTGACATTTTGGTATATTTATTTCACAAATTGTGTATTTTTATTTAAGTAAATAAGAAAAACATGAACAATCAAGAATATGTGATTAATTTTGCGACAATTTAATTTTGCAGCACTACATCTACTCATTGTCGCCGGCAAAATTAGAAATAGATTTAATTTGGCGACGTCGACAATTGCAGTCCTGCATCCAGGATGTCGTGCTGTCGTCAAAATAATTGTGTCCGTAAGAACGTGTGTATTTAAAATTTGACAGATGCTGCTTGTCGCTTGCTGTCGTCAAAGTGTTCCGAGCTTAAAAGAAACACATGCATACCTACGTATGTACATAGTAGTGTGCCCAGATGACAACAAAGTATTGGCACCTATTTATGTGCATAGTAGTGTGCCCAGATGACGACAAAGTATTGGCACAAAGTGTTATAGTGAAAATGAAGTATTGGCAAAAGTGTGTTTTGGAGAACAAATGCCTTAAATTTGCATAATACCCATAAACCAAAAATACCAAATCACCTACTCAAAGAAGCCAGAAAAATATGTATCTGAGTGGTGTTACTTCTGTCACAGAATAAAAAAAAAATATATATATATATTATAATATAATAAGTTAAACTACGTGAAGATGAGCAAAAATTGTTCATAAAAATATGGTTTTGGGTACAGAAAGTGTTTTAGAATCGCCGAGCATCAACACAGCTCGTTTTTTTTTTTTAACGCCTATGTTCTTACCGCAAAGATGCACCCACTTTTCCCGGTAATTTAAGCCTCTTGGCAGGCCAAACAAACGCACGAACTTGTTCTAATCAAACAGCATCTTCATTTTAAATCAAGAAACTAAAATTTTAACAAACCAAGAGTTGAATTAAATCGCTACAGAAATGTATAAATTGAAAATTGAGGTAGAAAGCAATGTGAATAAAACGAGAAATCATATGAAAAAATGGCAAAAAAAAACATTAAGAAAATCGTTTTCGGAAATTCGCTACCAACTACAACGATGGATAAGTGTGGATCCGCAATTGAGGAGGTATACTTAAAATCGCTTAAGATAAATGAAGGTAACTATTTATAATTTAACCTAAGGGTCAGTTTCTTAGTGCACGTCTGCAGTTTCAAATCGGACTGACTGGCTTATACCCAGATTAGCCAAGCAAATGTCCGCCAGCTGTTCACTGCAGACGCACTTTATGTGATCTAAGTTTAAACTGGCACGACGAAACTGGCCCTAAGAAGATACAAATATTTAAAGTCTATACAATGAAAATATAGTTGAAAATGTTGGTAGCGGTAGAGATTCTTCTCCTAGTCGTCCTCAGCGGTTGTCTCCGTGTGATAGGGTGGTAGTAATATCAGTTTGACAAGCGGTCTTGTCACAGTGCCCTTTTCGGTCAGGATGTCAACAACTCGGACTCTACTGTCCAAACCTGGGTGTAAATTGACCACCCTACCTAGTCTCCATTCGTTAGGAGGGAGATTATCTTCTTTTATGACCACCATATCTCCTACTTTCATGTTTGCCTTCGGATGTTTCCACTTTGTGCGTTTTTGTAGCTCGTTCAGGTATTCAGTCTTCCATCTCCTGCAGAAGTTTTGGTGTAGGGCCTTGAGCTTCTGCCAACGATTAACGATCGAGGCAGGATTTTCGTTGACGTCTAACTCTGGTGGAGCTAGCAGGTGTCCGCCGACTAAAAAGTGGCCTGGAGTTAGAGGCTCCAGATCAGATGGCTCATTTGAGGCTGGGCTAAGTGGACGCGAGTTGAGACATGACTCAACTCTGCAAAGTAGTGTACTGAACTCCTCGAAAGTGTATTTCGAATTTGACGCTATCTTTTTAAAGTGGCTTTTGAAACTTTTCACACCTGCCTCCCATAAGCCCCCCATATGCGGAGCTGCGACAGGTATGAAATGCCAGGTTAGTGATTGGTGAACATATTTTGAGAGCGTCTGTGTCCGCGCGTCGGAAAGAAATGCCTTAAATTCTGCTTTTAACGCTCTTGAAGCTCCTACAAAGTTTGTCCCATTGTCTGAGTAGACATTTTTTGGGCACCCACGTCTGGAAACGAATCTTGAAAATGCCGCTAGAAAGGATTGGGTACTCAAATCACTTGTGGCCTCTAGATGGATGGCCTTCGTAGAAAAACAGACCATAAGACAGACGTAACCCTTTGAAATTCGGCACCCCCGCCCACGATAACTTTTTATTTCAAAGGGTCCAGCGAAATCCACACCTGTATTTGTAAATGCTCGCGAAAACGTAGTTCGCTCTTGTGGAAGGATTCCCATAAGTTGGATTTGTGAGCGTTTTTTGTGAATAGTACATATTTTGCAATTATGGATGGTGGACCTTATTAGTGTTTTCACCTTTGGAATCCAGTATTGGGTTCGGATGAGACGCAACATGAGTTGGTTTTCACCATGGAGAGAGACTTCGTGTACAAATTGGACTATTAGGCGCGATAAACTGCAGCTGTATGGGAGTATGACTGGATGCCGTTCACTATATGCCAGATCACGAGATGCACCAAGACGACCACCAGTTCTCAGCAAATCATCTTTATCAAGCAACGGATTTAGAGGAAGGATTTCACTTTTTGACTCAATGGATTCTCTAGCTTTAAGTTTAGCGATTTCTGCTCCGTAATGTTGCTTCTGAGCGAGTTTTATCAGACGTATAGTCGTTGTTTTAATTTCGTTTGACGAAATTAAAGAAGAGTTCGCCTGAAAAGAAGCTTTTGTCTTCGGACTGGTTCTTTGGAGGAATCTCAATACATACGAGAGCACCCTCAAAGCTTTCGGTAAACTTGAAAACCGCTCAAGAATGTCACTAAGTTCGTTTGACGTTATTGTTGAATGAACGTGCAACCGTTTTTCCTCAATATTAGTAGTGAAGTCTATCTCTTGTAATGGCCAATTTTCTCTATTTTCTTGCAGCCAAGAAGGTCCTTGCCACCACAACGAATTTTGTACCAATTCATGCGCCAATATGCCCCTGCTTGCTAAGTCTGCTGGATTTGTGGCAGAGTCGACGTGCAACCAGTTAGAATTCCCTACCTTGTCTATTATATTAGTAACTCGATGGGCAACGAATGTTGACCACGAACATGGGGGCTTGCGTATCCATGCCAAAACAATCGTCGAATCTGTCCAAAGATGTATGTTTAGGTGGCCTAATTCCAGGCTATTTGTAATAGATTCGACTATTTCGGCTAGTAATACCGCCCCGCAAAGTTCCAATCTAGGCAATGAAATTATTTTCACTGGGGCTACTCGAGTTTTCGCTAACAGGAGGTTGACAAGTATTTTCTCGTCTCTTTCGACACGTAGGTAGACTGCGGCCGCGTATGCCTTTTCGGAAGCATCGCAGAATCCGTGAATTTCGACTTTTTCCTTTGGTGAAAAAGATACCCACCGCGGTATCCTTATTTTGTCGATTTCTTTATAATTTTTTTGTGAAATTGTGCCACCTATCTAAGGTTGGAACGGAGACCGTTTCGTCCCACTTTGTACCCTCCAACCATATATTCTGCATAAGTATTTTTGCAACTATTATTATTGGAGCTAGCCAACCCAACGGGTCGAATAGTTTGGCGATGGCTGACAATATCGCTCTTTTTGTTGGCGTGATGTTATCGTCTATGGTCTTGGTTATGAAATAAAATTGGTCGGAATGCGCATTCCACCTGATACCTAATGCTTTTACACTGCTAGTGTCCTCGAATTCTAAGAAATCTTCGCTTAAAAGATGTGGTTTTGGTATGCCCTGTAGTATTTTGTCACAATTCGAGGTCCATTTTCGCAAAGGGAATCCAGCTGATTTCAAAACTGTAGAAACCTCATCCCTAGCCTGTAACGTGGAGTCTATAGTATGTCCGCCCGCAAGAACATCATCGACATACATATTTTTCCGTAAAATATTCGAAGCTATCGGATGGGAATTTTCTGAATCATTAGCTAGCTGAAGTAATGTCCTTATCGCCAGATAAGGCGCACAGTTTATACCGAAAGTAACCGTTTTTAATTCATAAAGACCGATTGGTTCGTTTGGACCCGTACGGAAGACTAATCTCTGGTACTTCGTCTGGTTGGCATCCACGAGAATTTGCCTGTACATCTTCTCAATATCGCTATTGAAGACGTACCTAAAAAGTCTCCAGCGGAGAATCAAAATTGGTAAATCAGCTTGAAGAACTGGCCCTGGTAAAAGAACATCGTTCAAGCTGACCCCATTCGCTGAAGAAGACGAAGCATTAAAAACCACCCGAACCTTTGTTGATATACTTTCTTCTTTTATCACGGCATGATGAGGCAGATAGTAATTGTCGATTGCATCGGCCGACTGAAGTGCATTGATTTTCGACATATGCCCCATTGTCTCGTACTCTAGTATGACCCTGTTGTATTCCGCATGCAAATCTGGATTTTTCTTGAGGCGTGTCTCGTTTTTGTAGAATTGCGAGCACGCTATTCTCAGTGATGGCCCCAATTTGGTATCAGCCGGGAACTCCGCTTTGAATGGAAGCGAAACGATATACCTTCCGTCTGGGTTCCGTTTGGTTGTACGCTTGTAGAGCTCCTCACACTGTGTTTCTTCGGTTGTTGGTGCTCTGTTTCTCGGCAAATCCTCCAGTTCCCAGAATGAGCATAACTGTCTATCAAGGGCAACCTCATTGTAAAATGAAACTCGATTATTGCTGGTTGGGCTGGCTGCATCAGCACGACCAGTCAGTATCCAACCGAATACTGTTTCTTGCGCTAAGAGAGTACTGAGAACGTTCTTCTTAATTCCACCTAATATTATTTGAGGATATATGTCTCCTCCAAGAACCAGATCGACTTGTTCATTCACAAAAAACCTTTTATCTGCCAAAACCAGATCAGGAAAAACTTGTTGTGTGAGTAGGCAAGTAGGCAAATTCCCTGTCAGATTTGGTAGAACTAACACAAGGGCATCAATAGAAATAAGTGGGTCAATTGGTGACCACAATTGAATCGAACACGCTTCTTTCACCTGCGCTGAAACAGAATTATTGATGCCCGAAACCTGTGCTAACATCTTCTTGGTCGGCAAGTTGATTCTGCGTCTGAGCCTCTCCGTGATGAAGGAACACTCAGAGCCAGAGTCAATTAACGCTCTTGCCGCAAAGTTAGTACCATTAAAATGAATATTTACTCGAGCTGTCCCAAGTAAAACGCCTTTGCTTGAATTCGCGTGATGTGTTTGCACATGTCTGACTGCTTTACCTTTTCCCTTTGAAGATTGGTTTCGTAATTGTGCCTGCCTGGATGTCGATGCACCATTGTTAACTGGATTGGCTGTATTCTCCTTTGTCGTTGTTTTACCTGGAGCCGCCTGTATATGAAGTAGGGTGTGATGTCGAGAATGGCAATTGGCACAGTTGTAGGAACTTGTGCATTTCGACACCGCATGCCCAAAGGACAGGCAGTTAAACCAACTATTGTTGGTTTTAATAAAAGCGATCCTATCAGATGTCGACATATTTAAGAATTTTTGGCACATATGCAGTCTGCGATCATTGCTTTGACACATTTTGCAAGTAAATTTGCTTACACTAGTTTGAAAAGTGCCAAGTTTCTTTTGTGGCGGTTCAGAGGAATGCTTATGACTTAACCCTTTTGAAATTTTTGAAACCTTGATTCCTCTCAACCCCGAGACCGATTCCAAAGTTTGGAATCTGCTTGACAAGAATTGGTCCATGTCAGCCCACTTGGAAATATCTGTTTTAGTTTGCACTAATTGCTCCCACAGCGAAAGAGTCTCTTCTGGTAATTTTGTGGAGCAAAGGTATGTAATTATTGGATCCCAGGTTGAAATGTCAATTTTATGACTCTCCAGGGAAGATATGCAATTGTTTATATCCCTTTGCAATCTTTTAATTGCACTCCCGCATTCAGTTTCCACCGCCTGTAGATTGAAGAGGATCTTCAACTGGGTGTTAACTAGGATCCTTTTATTCTCATACCTATCGCACAAATTCTTCCAGGCTATATTAAACCCATAATTTGTCAGGTCGCATTTCTTAACAATTTCTTTGGCTTCACCCTGCGTTTTCTGACTAAGATAGTAAAGCTTTTGAATGGGTGTCAGCCGCTTGTTCAATATATATATAGCCGTGAACATGTCACGAAATGTTGGCCATGACAAATAATCGCCCTTGAATGCGTCGATATCACAAGGCGGTAGGTGTAAATTATGCTGTGTGGCTGACATGTCCTCATCTTCCTTTTCGGTTTTTGAAAATTTTTCCGACAAATCGTTTATTTTGGACATACATCGCACAAAAGCTGCATAGCACGTTTTTCCTTTCTTACGTATCGAACTTAGATCTTTAGCACCAATTGATTCCGTAGCCAGCAAGTCATCAAAAAGTGCTTTGGCTTTCTCCCACATCACCTTTAGCTCCTCTTGCTGAATTTTCAGCGAATGCTTGGTGTGTTCACTTGTGGGTGTGCCAAGAAATTCGATATCGAATTCAATAACCGAGTCAGCTAAGCGAATGTATGTTTCCATTTTTAAAGTTTTAACCACAACCTAATAAGATCTCTCAAGATTCATCCTCAGAATAAGCAACTCAAAGAAAACACCCACTATAGTGAATGACACAGTTGAAATTATTGCCCGAAAGCCACCCAATTTGTAAAAATCACAAAATTTGCCTCCTAAGCTCCACAACTTCGTAAATATCCCAAAATTTATGGTACTCAATATCGATGTATGTATGTACATATATGTATGCACAATCGTTTTATTTAATAATATATGTGCGTGTGTATGTACATATGTCTCTTGTGGTTGCTTTAAGTATTGGTCGCCACCCGGTATGTGTATAGTTTTTTATAACACGTATGTTTTTAGGATACAAAATCGTTTTTTAATAAAATCAATATTAAATTAATGCTTAGTGAGTGATTTTGTGAAAAAGGCGAAAAGACGAAAATGGCACTTTTTGAGGTTAAGCCTCTGCTACCATGCGAATTTAATATGTGTATGTATGTATGTTAATACACTTGTGCCACTTATCCGGAACTCAGAAAAAAACTGAAAATGTGTAAATTCCCGTGAATTAATTTAAAACTCCAAATTGAAAAATGTGATTTTAATTCGATTGGGAATATTATTCTATCTTGCAGAAACTTAAAATGCAAAATGAACGACAGACAGAACTTTTAGTGGACTGTAACTTTTTTTTTTCACAAGATCACTCGCGGACACTATTCTTTTAGTATATATTTTTAAATTTAATTATTCACACCAAAAAAAACAAGTGCAGTGATATTTCAAAACAACCACGTACCTTTTTAATGTGCTTTATGTTGTTTTGTTGTAGCTGATAAAAATTCAATTTTGCTGTGTGGTGACCACGTATGAACTCCTTGGCTAGCTGCTATGCTGGATTGTGGAATTTTAGCCGAAATGCTATCCAATAGTGCTGGTGGATTGATTCTCGGCTGATCTTGATCTAGCTGATTAGCGTTTTATTCTGGCTGATATCTCCGGGAATCTTATAATTTGTGCTCACGGCGACGGAGGACCATGTTCATCGGGCAAAGATGGTTAAGAGCGCAGTTTTCGGATGTGCC